TATATTATCCTAACTTTAGTCTGATTTATTATTTATTACTAAAAAGGAAAACAGTCTGGTATTCCCGCACATTTATCTAGTAGGGACGGTTGGTGGGGGGTGGGGGAGAGAGGGACCGGCGACCGACCACCTGGCATGTGTGAAGAATATTTTTTCTTTTTATTAACTGAAGATTTTTATTTTAGCTCATAAAATTTATACAAATTACCCGGCCAGAATATAATTTACATTGCTGGAATTCTTACAATTTGATGATCATTTTGAATATAAACATCATATATTTTGCATTAGACATAAAATTTTTAGATATAATGTTTACTCTGAGTAAATATGTTATCTTTTGTGCAAAATATATGACATTTATATTCAAAATATTCCTGGTCTTACAAGGAATCCAGCAATGTCAATTATATTATCCTAACCTTAATCTGAGGTATTATTTAATACTAAATGTTAAAATCTAGTTTTTTCACCCACTCTTTCTCTTGAAGGGAGGGTTGGTGGGAGGTGGGGGGGAGGGTTGGGACGGACTGACCATCTGGCTCGTTGGAAGAGGGGGGAGGCAAGGTGGGGTACTTTGATTGACAGATAGTGTCATGAAGAATATTTTTTTTTTATTAACTGAAGATATTTCTTTTAGCTCATAAAATTCATACAAATTACCTGGCCAGAATATAATTTACATTGCTGGAATTCTTACAATTTGATGATCATTTTGAATATAAACATCATAGATTTTGCATTAGACATACAAATTTTAGATGTAATGTTTACTCTAAGTAAATATGTTATCTTTTGTGAAAAATATATGACATTTATATTCAAAATATTCCAGGTCTAACAAGGAATCCAGCAATGTCAATTATATTATCCTAACTTTAGTTTGAGGTATTATTTATTACTATACCTGGTTTTCCCCCCAAAATTTCTCAGAGGGAAGAGCCAGCGAGTGTACTGTGAGAAGAGGGGGAGGGAGTGGAGTCCATTATTTGAATGAACATTAACTTGGCGACTGTATTTCTCTATTTCTCTTAAGTACTAATTGTGTGCATGTACCATCATAAAATTAAGATGTTATTTTTACTAGAACATAGGTATTGTGTTGGAAAAAGTGGAGTTTGGGGGTCAGCTGGTCTCTATTTCATTTAATCCCATATGTTATGTTATTCACTTTACGCGTTTCTCACTTTCCGCGGTACCCTGTGGGTTACATTAACCGCGTAAAGTGAGGGTTGACTGTATATCGCATTTTGTCTCGACCCTGGAAAAAACACGTAAGGGGGGACCCTAACGCGATTTTTCACCCAAATATGATTTTCTCTCAGACTTGAAATTTGGTGGGATTAATTTCAGTAATTAAGTACATCCAAAAGAACATAAAACCAACCAATCACCTTAGAAACCAATAGTTGGCAAGTACTGAAATAAGCATCGAGAAAAACTGTCATTAAAATATTCCAAGCACCATTACGACCACTAATCATTCCGCAATCGAACTGTCGATGATAGATTCGGAATCGGCATGCTCAGGAGTACCTATACTGAGATTTTGAACAAAATCTCAAATTTGTCTCGGCAGTGAAAAATTTTGTAAGGGAGGACCCTTACGTGTTTTTTCACCCAAATGTGATTTTCTCAAAGACTTGAAATTTGGTCAGATTAATTTCAGTACATCCAGAAGAACATAAAAACGCCAACTAATCACCAGGGAAACGAATAGTCGGAGAATTACTGAAATAAGCAGTGAGGTAGCCGAGACTCCTTGAAGAAACAGATTACAGCTACTCCTCGAATTAAGACACATTCGACCTACAACCACCCGCACGCACGACCTGCCTCAATCGGTAAAACCACCTGTGCATATGACAGCCACAGTCGGTACCAAAAATTTTTCAAATAATGTGCGTATTTTCTTGACCGAAACGTTTCCATCCCGTACGAGAGCGTCGCGTGGGCTGGGTTGAGCCGCCTCGTGGCTACAGCACCCACGGCGTAAAGCACTTACTGGTAGTTGGTATTTGGCTGTCGTTGTCGATAGCAATCGCGCTGTGTACCGACATTATTTTCGTATCTAATTCACTTTAGAATGACTGGCAAGCGTAGAAGTGAGAGTGCTGGTGGTGCTCAGAAGAAAAGGAGACATTCAATTACTTTTGAGATGGAAATGAAGATAATAATGCAGTATGAAAATGGAAAAACAGTAGCAACCATTTCACTCGACCTTGGCTTCTCGCACTCGACCATATCTAAGTCATGGGTGGTTCCAAAAGTTTAAGAACCGTTGCAGTTTGCATAGTGTAAAGGTGAGTGGAGAGGCAGCAAGCGCTGATGTGGGTGCTGCCGAAGCTTTTAAGGAGCTAGATCATGTCATCGTGGAGGGAAATTATTTTCCTGAACAAATATTTAATGTGGATGAAACTGGCTTATTATGGAAGCGCATACATCCACAAAGAGGCGAAAACAATGCCGGGATTCAAGGCATTCAAGGACCGAATCACACTTTTGTTGGGGGAATGTAACTGGTTTCAAGATAAAGCGCTTCATGATATATCATTCAGAAAACCAAGGGCTTTTAAACATGTCAGCAAGCACACACTGCCATGTTTTATCACATTAACAAGAAAGCATGGATGACCCTAGTATTGTATGAGGATTGGTTCATGACTTGTTTCATTCCACAAGTCAAGGAGTATTGTCTGCAACAAGGGATTGCATTCAAGATTTTTTAAATTTTGGGTAATGCTACGGGACACCCACCACACCTGGACGACATGCAACCTGATGTGAAGGTAGTCTACATTTCACCTAACACTACCTCTATCATCCAACCCATGGATCAAGGTGCTATTGCAGCTTTTAAAGCGAATTATTTACGTACGACCTTCGCTCAGGCTGTTGCTGCTACTGAAGGTGAGAAAACGCTCAGAGAGTTTTGGAAGAACAACATTTTGAAATGTATAAAGAACATAGATGCAGCATGGGATGAGGTTGCAGGTCAGTGCATGAATGGAATATGGAAGAAAGTCCTGAAAATATATGTGAACAGTTTCAGAGGATTTAATAAAGATGAAGTAATTTCTGAGATTAGTAACAAGATAGTGGAGTTGGGTAAACAGCTTGGGTTAGAAATTGATAATGAAGATGTTGAGCAGTTGGTTGAAAGAGTAGCAGAAGAGCTAAGTACTAACGAGGATTTTACTGAACTAGAAGCACAGAAAAATGCAGAGGAAGAAGAGAGTCTGAATGTAGAAGAAGAACCTGCACCCCCCAAAATTTTTACAGTGAAGCAAATGGCAGAGGCATTTACTACAATTAATAAGGGGATGCAAATGTTTGACGGAATGGATCAAAATGTTGAGCGTTTTGCCAAAGTTGACAGAATGGTCCATGATGCACTTGCTTGCTACAGGGAGATTTATAATGAAAAGAAAACACAAACTGTGCAGTCTAAATTGGACATATATTTTCAGTGTGCAGTCTAAATTGGACATATATTTTAAGAAGTCCCCCACTGCTGTCTCCTCACGCCCCACCATTGCTGCCTCTTCACTCCCTAAAGATGATCCAATACCTTCAACCAGCAAGTTTCCCCTGTATATTAACCTGTCTGAAGAAAGTGACATTGATGACCCACCCAGTCCTGTCTTCTCTGCTTCATCCACTTAATGTAGTCTCCATGTATGATTAGAAAATTATGGGGGCCCCATGTGCATTCAGCTGACTACATTAAAGGTAAGTGCACAGTAACACTGTATCCATTCTTCATTATTGATTACTTTTACTGTACTGTATTTCATTTAAAATTTTCTATGTATTATTTTTTGCATTTTCGACTTACGGCTATTTCGACTTACAACCTGGATTTGGGTCCCTAACCCCGTCGTAAGTCGGGGAGCAGCTGTAATGACTTCACCGCCTCCAGTGAAATATCTAGTCTAAAGCTAACTGACAGTCAAATTCCCTTTGATAATCCAATACTGTATTCATGAAAATTTATCATGAAATACAGTACTTCATGCAGATTCAACCACTCCAAAGGTGGGATAATAATTATTGTTTACCTCCTTCGACCTCCAAAATGGAAGTTTCCTGAAATTCTAATTTGTTTAACATATTATTATGTTTATTATCATAACTAAAAACAGATTACTGTACTGTATACACTAAACCCCACAACAGTGCTTCATACTATAAGGAGTAAGGCATATCATACAAGCAAAACATTGAACCATAGGGAATAAAATTTATATGTGGATTCACGTACAGTACAGGTATATCCACACAGCAAATATAGACATTAACACCACCAGCTGCATACCAGGTACTGTAAGTGTGCCTGGTGAAGAAGGCAACTTGTCCAGAAAGAAGGGACAAAATTAAAAGTTAGTCCCCTAGTAAGCACCCCGTATTGTGAGAACAGATCAGACTTACAGCACACCTAGAAAATTTTACAAAGCATAGCATATAGACATGCTTGTTCAAACCTATTCCTATGTTTCCCATAAGAGGTATTCTAACCTAACTATACCGTCACACAGATTAGGGGAAAAAATTAATTTCAGTACAGTATTATCCTTAAGCCTCGGGTTAGGGTGCTGCTGGCAGGAAACCCCTCCCCCACCCACGGGGATAAATTGAGAAAAAAATCAACTTTTCCAAATATATAAAATTAATAAAAATAAATAAAAAAAATTGGCTGGAAAATAGGAGGGCGTTCTGGAACGTCACCCGGGGCCTAAGGGTTAAATGACCAACCTTCAGCCACTGGTTACGGACTTCTGGGGTACAGCTCCTCCCCGACTTACAACCTACTCGACTTACGACCACCCGCACTTACGACCTGCCTCGGTCGTACCAAAATGTTGTCAAATTACATATTTTCGAGTCCCAACATCAGTACACAGACAAAATTTTCTTTTGTAATTCACTTTAAAATGGCTGGCAAGCTTAAAAGTGAGAGTTTTGTGGTGCTAAGAAGAAAAAGAAACCCATTTTAGATTTTCTAAGTATTATTTAAGCATTTTTGACTTACAACCATTTCGACTTACGACCTGGATTTGGGTCCCTAACCCAGTCGTAAGTCGGGGAGGAGCCGTACTAAGAACGACATGTCCTTCCAAACTCACACCCGTCTCATTCCCAAAATGGACAGCCCGACCTGGTGATAATTACAGCCTTTAGTTTATTTTATACTGTATATATCTCCTGCTGAATACACTTCTATTGATGCAGAGAATCAGTTACTGTATATCAAAAATTTGTTTTTACTTTATACTCTTCACCACTGATCAGTGTCTTTACCCAAACTCTTTACCACAAATCAGCCTCTCAGTCTCTTAGCTCAAACCCTTCACCACTAATCAGCATCTTACACCCAGAGTTTTAATCACCCTCTTCCGGTGACGGGGGTCATTGTGTATACAACCAGACTTTTAAATATTTGAGTCACGAAGGACACTGTGTTTGACAGAGAGGTGTGGCAGTAAAATTAACTTATAATAATGGAAATAGTTACTTTTACCACCACACCCCCCTGTCAAAGGGTGATTAAAACTCTGGGCATTAGCTTCTTAACTCAGACTCTTCACCACTGATCAGCCTCTTTAACTTAAGACTCCTTAGCATATGTCAGAAACTCTTCACTCACCTTACAAAATTTCCTTAATCACCTGATGGTGCATGGTGAGTGCCTTGAGACCCTGAAGGCAGCCTCGCAAGTGTGTCGTGCCAAGACCTCGCTGCCAAGAGAGCTGACTCAGATTCAGCTCCTCCATCAAACTGTGGCGGAGTCTCACAATATCTTGGCGAATAGGCTCACTGACGGCTTATCTTCTCTCGGCCTCCCCATGTTCTAGATCAGCCATGAGCTGTAGCAATAAGTCAACAGTTCAGTTAAAAGACATTCTGACTTTGTTTTGGGATTATGTGAAGATCAGACACCCCTAACTTATTTCACCTGATGATTGTAAAACCCCTAATACAGTACACTCCTAGTAAGAAATACTGTATTTAAAAAATGAAGGGGAAATTATTGAAAATTCCCTTCTATAGTATCACTAATTTTCATGCAGTATACCTCTTACACTGTATACAATGATTTATTCAATCATAAACTGACATTTCTCACTAAGTGGGGTTCGTAACTAATATTATGCAATACAGTCGTTGAATAAAAAAAATTCTTACTTCAGATTTTCCCTCAGTCTGGCTGAATACAGCTCGTCCTCAGGGTTAAAGGTGCTTGAGCCACCATGAAATGGTTGATGCCACTTTATCTTCCTATCTGGTTCGTGCAGTGACTCTGGAAGATTGTCCACATATTTAGTGGGAAGGTCAAATTCATTGAGAATACGGTGCACGGTGTCTCGAGCTGAAGGTTTATTCAACTTCAATGCTACTGTGTTAAGGCTACCTGTAATTTAAATGAATTAAAAATATCAAAGAATACTTGGTGAGAAGTTTCCCTAAAAATTATCAAAAGGTTGCTGGCTATTATGGAGGGGTCTGTTGGAGGTCTGACAGCTGATGTTCTAAATAAGTGAACACACGTGTTAAGTGCCACGCTACTCTTCGGTCAAGCTTGGTAATGTGACTCAAGAGACAACAGTGAACTATACAGTTAACCCTCACTTTACGCGGTCCCGCATTCCGCGTTTCCACGTTTACGCGGTGCCTTGCCAGAACCTCACGTGCTCACATTATGCGGTACGTGAACCCCATTACGCGGAGAGTGTCCGGCGCGACGCTATTTTTAGATTCGCCCCACCCGCCACCCGCCCGCCTGCCTGCCTGTGCTCCTCACCTCTCCCTCCTCCTCCCTCCGCTTGGGCAAGCGGCGCGGTAAGGTTGCGCAGTGTGTGTCTTTGTTGCGTTATCACTGACGTCATATGACGTATCGGACTGTGATTGGCCATGCATCCCTACCCCCCTCTGCTGCTAGCTGTAATTGGCTTAAAGTATTATGACGTGTCCACCCGGGGGAGGGAGGGAGGGAGGGAGGAAAGACGACGCTTGACCTAGCCGCGGCAGTTTCATCCCTCAAGGCCACACCGTGTAAACGTGCATCCATTGTTCCGTAAAATGGCTTCCGCCGGACCACCACCCCCAGAGAGAAACCTTTCCTTACCTGGACCCAGCGGCACTAAGCCAAAGAAGACACGACGTTCCTTAAGCTACGAGGTGAAGTATACCATCATCCAAGAGTTGGAGAAAGGAACAAGGCAGGTTGATTTGGCGCGCCAGCATGGTGTGAATGAATCTACGATTCGAACAATAAAGAAGGATGCAGCCAAGATAAAGGAGCACATGAAGATCACAAAGTCTACAGGTGCTTCTATGATCAAGTATTTTCACAACCAGGTGCTTCTCAAGACAGAAAAATTACTTGTGAGGTACTTGGTGCGTCAGGCGCGACGGAACATGGCGGTCGACACGCGCTCTGTTAAGGACTACGCACGTGAACTGTACATCGCAGTGGCACGAAAGATGGGAATTACAGAGCCCAAACCCTTTAATGCTTCCTCTGGGTGGTTACAGAGGTTTAAGATCCGGAACAAGATCACCAATATAAACATTGGTGGTGAAGAAGCGAGTGCTGACCGTGCTGCGGCTAGGGAATTTCCTCCGTTTTTACGTGAGATTATGGAGGAAGGACAGTACAGTGACGACCAGGTGTTTAACATGGACGAATCTGGTCTTTTCTGGAAAAAGCTACCTTCCAAGTCCTTCGTTGTAAAGAATGCCAGCAGGATTCGGGGCCGGAAGATGCAGAAGGAACGCATCACCGTCCTGTTTACCACCAATGCCTCCGGTACCTGTAAGCTCAAGTTATCGGTGATCCACACAGCACGCAAGCCGCACGCCTACAAAACCATGGACATGACCAAGCTAAATGTCCACTGGCTGACCGCACGTAAGGCGTGGATGTTCTCTACACTGTCCCTCTCCTGGTTTGATGACTGTTTTGTTCCCGATGTAAAGAAATTCTGTGAGCGACAGAATGTGCCATTCAATATTTTGTTGCTGCTGGACAACGCACCAGGACACTCGCCCCTACTGTTAGATCGTCACCCCAACGTAAAAGTGGTCTTCCTTCCTCCCAACACTACGTCTATATTACAGCCCATGGACCAAGAGTTAATCTGTAATGTAAAAGCTGCATTCTCAACAAAAAAATTCCAGCTCCTGAACGACTACACCAACACCAGGGAAGAGTTGCGTAACCTGAGTGACACCACCACCGATAGCAAGAGCGAAGAAGATGAGGATCAACAGTTGGAACAGCAAAAAATACTCTTCAAACAATTCTGGAGAGTATTTAACATCAAGAAAGCTGTGGACTTCTTGGTGGAGTCATGGGATCAGCTGTCTATTGCTACAATTCGTCACGCATGGAGACATGTGTTGCATGGAATACCAGGTGAGAGGAGGAGTCAATCTGTGACTGGTGAGGTTCAGAATGTTGCAGTAGCAGTGGACCTTGCCAGAGAAGCTGCGCAGACTGTTACAGTTCCAGGCTTCTCCGAGACCACCAACGACGACATCCTGGAGGTGATCAGAGATCCTGAAGTGACTGCCGACGAGATGTTGGAAGAAGATCACGTCAGTGAAGAGGAGGAAGAAGGTGCGTCATTCTCCGAAGAACACAGTTTAACTCATAGTGATATTAAGGGTGCCATGGAGTGTGCAGAGAAAATGAAGTCCTTCCTTTCCCGCGACAATGACGATGACCGCTATGAAGTCTTCCATACCCGGCTGGTGCAGGCTATGGAGCCGTACATCACGGTGTATCACGACAACATAAACACCAGCCGTCAAAAAAGCATAACCGAGTTCTTCGCCCGCAACCCACCACAGCCAGCCCAAGCCAGTGATAGTGACAGTGAAGATGACTTTGAGGGATTTGTCAGGGAAGCCCTGACAACTGTAAGTGACAGTGATGGTGATTCACCTAGTAATGGTGATTCACCTGAGGGCCAGTAATCTGCCCTCTGCCTCGGAACCAGCCTCCATCCCCGTATGCCGACCCATCTCTTCTACTACCGTAAGTGTTCCACCTAACTTTTAGTTTTTCTAACCTAACTTTTATTTTTCCTATGTTAACCTTTATTTTTCCTAACCTAACCTCTTCTATATTACTTGTTTTTTCATACGATCATAAAGTTAAGATAAAATTTTTACTACAACATAGTTGTGTGTCGTCAAAAAGTGGAGTTTGGGGATCGGCCCGGACTCCATTTCAATTAATCCCATATGTTATGTTATTCACTTTACGCGTTTCTCACTTCACGCGGGACCCTCCGGGTTACATTAACAGCGTAAAGTGAGGGTTAACTGTACTGAGAAGGCAGGTTATTGTGAGTTAAATGTGAGGCAGACAGTGAACAATACAGTCAAGACACTTAAAGGCTTCCCTTAGTGATTCTAAAATATTATTAAAATTAATGAGAATGTTGATAGCACTGTGCCACTTGCCTACTTTCATACTGTGGAAAAGACGGAAAAAAACTACCAACAACCTGAACCAACAGTCTCATGAAGGCACCCAAGAAGACCCATTGTTATGTCCCTTGTGAAGCACCACATTATGATATCAGAAAATTATATGTGTCCAAGATATAAAAATTACTGTGATAGAGAATACATATATTACTAAGTCACTTTAATTTAGAAAGATTAAAGAACCCCCAACAGTTTGTAAGAGATTCACCAACAGCATAACAGATGCCACAGAGATCATTAGTAATGACTGAAGGAACCTCTTACAAGGACAATAGAGGAAGACACACCATAAGCTGTCCAAAGTTTAAAAATCTTATCCATACTGTCAAGAATAAAAGTTAAGCGTTTGAAAACTTTCCTACCTTGCATTTTCTTATTTTTTATATAGAACTGTAGACTAAGAGGCCTTGGTTTCTCATGATTGATGAGAGAATCAAGGTGACTGTTCAGCAACGTAAGGAAAGCATCATTAACATGTTGAGCTCTTGGGTGTTGACCAAAGAGATCTGGGTGGACGAGGAAGTAGAATGGCCGCAATGCTGTTGTCACTTGAGCAGAAGATAAGTTCCAGCAAGAATTCTTAACCTCATAGAGGAGTTGTCTCGAGCTCTGGAAGTTATGATATGCCTGAAATAAATTCATACTGGTATAGAGTACTGTAACAGCAATTCTTCCTTCACTGTACAGTATAATCATTATACAACACAATACTGTACTGAAAACCTCATTATACAAAACCAATTCATCAAGCAAATGTCTTTAGAAATCATTTACTGTTTTTTGAACATATTTTGTCACACCAAATGCAGAATATACAGTATGATAGTATGATGGTATGAGGCCACAAGTGTGATCTCATTCAAGACCAGAATTGACCAACACTGACGCAGGTACAGATACATTCTCGAGCTGGTACATGCCCAGTACTTGCCAACAGTGCATAACAGAGATGTGATCGACTGCCAAAGAGGCTAACGAGCCGATCAGTGACGAAGAAGATAAAGTACTGTATATACGTATGGGGTGTGGTACAGTATATTGTAAAATACAATGGCTTGCTGCATTCTTCAGTAAAAATAAATAAATATGTGCAGGAAAACAGTACGAGTTTCTAAAGGTTGCAAGAATGATCTTACAATAACAATAAGGTGACATTTAATGCTCAATGACATCAATTCTTCTTTACTATAAAATTAGGCAGGAGATATTTGACGGTATCCGGCTGAATAACCACTGGTTGTTTGACCGGGATTTAAATAAAATCTAAGTCCTTCTGGTCATAGAAAATTCTACATATTATTTTATATAGTACTGTATTGACAATTTCAAACTATTACAAAAATTATCATATAGAAATAATACTGTACATGCAAAATTAAGGATACAGTACAAGGAAGATGAAATCAGATTAAATTCTAATCAATTTGTTAAGAAAACCGACACCTGAACATTTAAACGTTATAATACTGTTTAGGTATCAGGTGTAAACCTCAGAAACTGTTGGTCTGACCTAAACTAACTTAACCTAACCTACATTATATATGTCCAGGAGAGAAGTGGGACACCTCGGAGTATCATAAAATGATTAAGGAAGACAGTGATAAGGCATTCAACATTTACATAATGGTGTTGTAGTGGATTCCTCCCCTACAAACGCTGTTTGTCGCTGGCTAGCCGACCCTCGAATTCCCCAGTGTATGCCTCGTGGTCTAGGTCAGCAACCAGCGCCGCCTTACATGACTGAGGTCAACTATTAAGCTACTCCTACCCCCGCTATATAAGACCTGACCTCGTGGTGACCTACCTCTCTTTCTACCTACAGCCAGTTCTCAAGTAACACCACCTCCACCGCTCCTGCCTGGCGGCCCTCGCTCCCGCTGGCGAGCATGATGCCCCACAAGCTGGTCCTCCTCTGAGCACCCTCACCAACCAGCTCTCCCTACTCACGCTTGTAACCACGCTGCCTCCTCCCAGCACCAGCCACCAAGCTGCATTGTACATCCAATATAATATGTATACAGAGAGCACATTGTGAGTTTCCTTTCTCCATCCCATCCTGAACGTGAACCAATATCCCGTACCCCACAAATGGTGACCCCGGAGATTCGCACTCACACAGGATGGAGGAGAAACCGATCACTCTCCCAGTCTTCAAGCAACATGGAAGACTGGCTTATCCCCACAGAGGCAGCTCTCATCGGCTCTACAGCTACTGTCTCTACACCGCAGGTTAGACACCCTAGAGCAGCACTGCTTCTCTAAGCAGACACCAGCTCCTCTTCCTGCCCCAAGCACCACTTCCTATCGACCCCAGCACACCCGTCCTGCCTCAGACGCCGCCCCCGGCCCAGCAGTACCACTGCCACTGTCCTGGACCCTCCTCCTGACGCGGACCCTCCTCCGCTCCTGCCTGGCAGCCCCTGCTCCCGACGCAGCCCATGCGCCTGAGTGCGGCCCCACACACCCTTTTTTTTTTTCCCTCAGGTACTCCCTGCTACTGTCCTGCACCCTGCTGCTGTCATAGACCCTCTTCCTGATGCAGCCCCTGCTCCTGACCCAGACCCACACACCCCAACAGGCGCATCTGAGGACTCTGTACCTGCCGCAAGGGAAGCAAAAAAATTCATCGCCTCCACAACCCTCCTTCTCCCTCTCTCCTCCCACAGATCTCGTGTATCTAGACAAGGTTGTCTCCACTAGCAGCCGGCTTATACACGCCCTCGCCGTCATGTCTAACATGTGGCATGCACCGCCCGTTCTGCCTCTCACATGTGCCATGCAACTCTGCAGACAACAAGACTCCTACACAGCCTGGAGGGAAGGGGAAGTATTGTAGTGGATTCCTCCCCTATAAAAGCTGTTTGTCGTTGGCTAGCCGACCCCACGAATTCCCCAGTGTATGCCTCGTGGTCTACGTCAGCAACCAGCGCCGCCTTATATGACTGAGGTCAACTATTAAGCCACGCCTACCCCCGCTATATAAGACCTGACCTCGTGGTTACCTACCTCTCTTTCTACCTACAGCCAGTCCTCAAGTAACACCACCTCCACCGCTCCTGCCTGGCGGCCCTCGCTCCCACTGGCGAGCATGACGACCCACAAGCTGGTCCTCCTCTGAGCACCCTCACCAACCAGCTCTCCCTACTCACGCTTTTAACCACGCTGCCTCCTCCCAGCACCAGCCACCAAGCTGCATTGTACATCCAATATAATATGTATACAGGGAGCACATTGTGAGTTTCCTTTCTCCATCCCATCCTGAGTGTGAACCAATATCCCGTACCCCACAGTGTAATACCCACAGCCAACTCAGGGGCGGATCCAGCTGCGGATGGGGGAACATGGCGAGTGCGGCAAGCCCACCCAGCTGGGTTGCATTTTGAAGCCATGTGTATTTGATACTAGGAGATATTTCTGATGTCAATAGCAATTACTTTTTACTATACAAAAATGCCTGAGTACAATACTGCATTCAAGAAAAAGTATTGTAATTTTGTGATGAAAAGGGGGTCCAGAGCCCCCCGCCTGCATCCTGACAAGAATCTCATTAAAATCATAATGAAATCATACACAATCCCTGTGGGTCCCGGTCAAATAGCCGATGGTTATTTGACCAGGAATCCCGGTCAAATAAACACTTTAATAAAATTACGTTTGAAAAATAACTAATGACCTTCAACACTTTGTTAGCTTCTAGAGTGGCAGAAGTTTCTCTCAGCTGAACACAATACCTAGGTGCAACACTACTCCTTAAAGGGTTAATGCTGGTCATAGCTCCTGCTTTGACCCACCTTAACACTTGCATTTTAACATCTAAAGTGATGCTTTTACTTAACACATCTGTCACATTTCCAGCACTAAAACTTAGGTGTTATTGTAGTTTCAGCCCCAACTCAGTTAAGAGCATTTTACTGATAACTCAGTAACCACTCATTTGCAATGGAAATGAAAGTCGAATTTGTACGAATCAGACCAAATACCATGGGAAAAACACAAATTTATGGCAGAACAGTAGTTGGGGCTAAAACTGCAATTTTACCCAAACTTGCAGGTCTTTTCTCATATATTATTAGATTAACAGGTAGATATTTATTCAGTAAAATTTCCACATAAGTCAGCTGTAACAGTAAACAAACTTCTCGCTCGGCCTCCAGTACCACAGTTGCCTGTTATAGTTATTCAACATCTACTACATTATGTTTACCAATGATCAGACGAAAAATTGCAAATTAAATCATTATTTGTTCAGTACAGTACTTTTTTAAATTCATGAATTAATATTAATATTTCAACAGCTGAGCACTTGTATTACAAACACTTGTTACTCAGCAACTCTAGGTACTTGGAGTATGATAAGCATCAGCATGTGTTGTCTACTGTCTACACCTCTTTATTGGAAACACGAGTTAAACAATAACGCCCGTATTAATGAACATCTTCCCTTGAAGAATTTCATGTCAAAAGCTGTATTTTTAAATGCGAAGAACCTTTTACTGCAGCGCACGAATGAGTGTGGTGGCATGAAAACGAACTAATAGTACATAACTTTCCGTTATTGCCAAATGCAAGCTGCGGGAGTCATCTCATCTTACTAACGCTAGTACTAATCAGGTAAGAACATTTACGGTAATTTATTAAACTTTTTAGCAGTTTCATAAGTGAGTTTCTGTCTGTAAAATATAAACTGGAGACATTCTTGCCTAGAAATATTAAAATGGATAGAGGCAAATTTCACTGGGGGAAAATCGTTTCCAAACTTTATGCTGCATATGTTAATAAAGTAAGTACATTTAAGTTACTTAATGCAACTTTTTAGCAGTTTTATAAGCGAGTTTCTATCTGGAAAATATAAACTAGTGACGTTCTTGCCTAAAAATATTAAAATGGGTACCGGGTAGAGGCAAATTTCAATGTAAGGGCATTGTTACAAGGATGGTAACATTACATACAAAAACACCTTTGAAACAGTGGTTCATGATATAATATGTGAAATACCGCAGGCTCTAAATTTTCATCACCAATTACAGTACAGTATTTCGTTTTGGTAAATTTCCATTTGGCTGAATTAGGTGCATAATAAAAGAAGTTCACTGGGAGATGGAGTTTCATTATTTAATGATAATGTGACTTAAGCATATATGATACAGTAATTTGGCTAATATAGAGGACTTCACAGCAGCTTCCCCGTCTCAGTAATATTAAGTTCGCCTATGGCATGTGTTAGGTTAGGTTAAATTAACTTTAACTTATAAATAAAACTTTTTAAAATACAGCTCCTCCCCGACTTACGACGGGGTCAGGGACCCAAATCCAGGTCGTAAGTCGAAAATGCTTAAATAATACATACAAAATCTAAAATGGATGTCTCTTTTTCTTCCCAGCACCACAAAACTCTCACTTTTAAGCTTGCCAGCTATTTTAAAGTGAATTACAAATGAAAATTTTGTCTGTGTACTGAAGTTGGGACTCGAAAATACGTAATTTGACAAAATTTTAGTACGACTGAGGCAGGTCGTAAGTGCGGGTGGTCGTAAGTCAATTAGGTCGTAAGTCGGGGAGGAGCTGTATTTGCCATAGATACGATCGTCTCACTAAAAAACATATTGAAATTGCTGCGTTTATAAATTTGTTTTCTCAGAAAACCACAATTTTTATCCCATGACAATATAATAAGGGCATATCAGCACTTAAAAGCCATTTCCTATTATTTTATGCATTACTGTACATTATTTTTTTTTAAATTACATTGGAAACGTGAAAATTTTTATTTCCCCGGTGTTTGTAACTCACAGGTTGAATTGGCCAGAGAAAACTTTTAGAAAAATGAATCGGCAAGATTGGGTCTAGAATTTTGGAATAACTTGGGAGACCAATATAGACAAGAGGCACAGGCAAGGTTGGAGGAAGACCACAGACGACGGCACAGAAGACGACTCCGAAGAATTGTAGCTGACCGCATGAACCCATTCACAGCAATTAGCGATGATGAATTTGTTGACCAGTTTAGGCTCAGAAAGGAATTGGTTCGCATAATCATCAAAGAAAGTCAGGATCTGCCTCCTGTTGCCAATTATAAGAGGTAAACAAAGCCTTCCTTAAAGTACCATATTACAGTACAGGTTATTTCTACCGAATGTGTATGGTTTAAACCATGGCCTATCCAGGTCAAATTAAATAATACTGTAATAAAGCTACGTTATTATTACGATGATATAATCAATGCTTACATTATTTCATGTTGCTACTTGCTTCTTCTTACACACCTCGGCCTTCCACTTTTCCATATGGGTTAAGCCATTGAAAGAGGAAGATTGGGATACTATAGTTTAGAAATTAGGAGAATGTGGGCCTGATGAGTTTGTCATTACTTCATTTATCATTCGATGATTTCTTTACAGGTTGTGCTGTTCCTCCAAACCTACATGTCCTATTAGCAATACTTTGCATGGTGACTGGAAGCCGCCAACTATCATTTGGAGACTGTTATGATGTGTCTCAAGCCTGTGTCAGTCTGTATCTTCCAAGGGTTTCGAGAGCAATAGCCAGCCTTAGTGAACAGTTTATAAAATTTCCTGCTGGCAATGATTTGCACAAAACAGTACAGGCCTTTTACAATATTGCAAGAATGCTGGGAGTCAATGGATCCATAGGTACTGTATAGAGCTACAGTACCAGGTTTGGGCTGTTTGTAATACTGTACTTGTAGTTACACTCATGATATAAAGACAGGAGTTGATTTTTTTAATGTGTTGTCTTTTAAACTGACCTATATTTTATATATTGATGTTATGGTCCATAAGGAAATACTGTATACAGAGGTACCTGTATATACTGTATATTTATACACAGTTATTTATTTTATTATGTCACATATGTACAGTAATTTGAAATAATTGTAAAACAATCACATTTTCAATAAACATTCAACAAGCATATATTTAAAATTCATACTTGTCAAAAATGATGGCATTTTTTATATTTTAAGATAACAAAAATATTTCTCTGTAAAATGTATTTATTTTTTACATATCACACTTTTCTTAACTCAAACAATAATTATAATCAGGAGTCTGCAACAATGTAAATATGTAATACAGTATAGTAAATTTATAAAAAATAAAACAGGAAATTTGACATTACAAAGTCTATAACTAACCTATATATTCATTCAATTAATGCTATACAGAACAAAAAATTCGTAACCAATTGGGTGGTAATAAATATTAATACAGTACAACATAAAAATAAGTTTCACATTATACAATACAAAAGAATTTGTTGTTACTAAGACTCACATGAAATTCGACTGAATATCCTCAACAATGTTTATGAAATAAGAGCCACATTTAGTAAAGCTACTTCCACCACAAGTTTCTTTGTGTGAGTGGGCTTTGAGCAATACTGTACTATTAAATTTACTTGTTTCACAATTTTCTCTTGCACTATTCACTTAGTGCAACTAAAAAGGTTAAATTATAGTTTCAGTCATCCAACCACGGGAGTATTTGAAAAAATAAATAAAATAAAAATACACCAAAAACGGTAAATTTGCATAAGTGCACCACACTGTTAGAAAGTAAAAAATATATTTTTCTAGTGTATTTGTGTGTTTAGACCGAATATTACCTTCATTTCCGGCAGAAATTGGCAGTTTTTTTTTTAGTTTTTTTTTTCATGGGACGTTTCCGAAAAAAAATAATGTAGCATTTTTTCGATTGCATGGTGTTCTCCCAACCTTAGTAAAGTGTCGTAAGTGCAAGACTGAATGTAAATATCGCAAAAACCAACATATGTAGCATTGTCCAAACTCGTCCCTTATCCCAAAGACAAAGAAGAGACGGCAATAAGGTAAGAAATAGGTGATTCCATCATATGGTGAGAGTCGGTTAGGTTAGGTTTTGTGTTTGTTTTTCTAGTGTTTTTTGGTGTATTTTTTATTCGCTTCGCCATTATTTTTTTTTTCGGAAAAGTCCCACGAAAAAAAAAAATCGATAAAAAAAGGCCAAGTTCCACCGGAAATGAAGGTCATATTCGGTCTAAACACACAAATACACTAGAAAAATATATTTTTTACTTTCTAACAGCGTGGTGCACTTATGCAAATTTACCTCGAAAACCACCAGAAAAACATAATTTCAACCTAACCTAACCATAACCCAACATAACCTAAACTTAAAATCATAAAATGAGACGAAAATACTGAAACAAATATAATTTGGTATATTATGTAATTTGTGAGCAGGGAACTAAATTAGAAGTCTCTACCTCCCATATAACTGAATTAAGTTAGTTGTCTCAGAGACAGTAGTCATCTGCACCCTCTTTAATGTAACCTACTTCGCAACAAAATATATTAAAATTTTTACTTTATTTTAATGTGCTCGCAAATCTTCTTTAATTGTTCTTCTGATCGCCGATGCCTATATCCCTCAGCACTGAAACATGTTGCTATTCGCAACCATGGTTGCTTCTTTAAAGCAACAGGCTTTTCACAAGTACTTTTATTTTGTAAACTCTTCTCCTCTCCAATCAAATGGACTAATAAATCACGTTCTCTTTGCGATATAGGACTTGCCAAAAGGTGGTTTGGAGGAACAAAAGTCCATGATGAGAGCACAGAATACTCCTAATTTTAGTGCCAACGAAGGTAAACAAACACACAGTAAGACAACTAATAATGCAACAGCGAAAAGACGACCATAATTCATCAGCGAAGTGGAGAGTATTATCAGACCTAAAAACTCATCCCGCACGAAGTGGAAGAGGTTCGAGCATTTGAAAATATCACTTGAAAGAACAATCCCTTCGAAAAGAATCTTCGTCGGAGAGGGAATATGTTGTTTCATAATATGGGCAGTATGGACATTTCGCGATGCACAGATGAAGGATCTGTGGCCAAAAAGTTAGAATTCTGAAAAATAAGTGTTCCTCTAGTAACTTAGAGTTATCAAAACTTCATACTCCAGGGACAATTAGGGCAATTAATTATCAAATTTTCCACAGCAGATCCTGATTCAGCATTTCAACAACAAACCATAATGATATTTTGAGAAAAATCACTTTTTCCAATTTTTTGAAACAGTTGTTTGTGGGATACCAATTTTCGACCCAAAAATTGCATTCCTCAATTGCCTACGGCAAATATACACGTCCTGTACATCACAGGGTTCCTCTCTCTCTCTAAAAGTGTGTCAAGCTATTACATATTTTCATTATTTTCACTCTGACTAGAGATTCCCAATTATTTATTTTTTAATAAACCCTTGCGGGCTCCATAATATGGGGCCGCTGCAGTACCTGTATAAGTAAACAGTAATTGGTCTTCATTATAGTTAGCATGAAGGTATGCTGCCCGCTGTTTCCAAAGTGACATCTCTAATCTTTTCAGATATTTAATTTAAATTTCTCAAATATTTTATTTAAATTAGAAAAATATACACGCACATTCCACCAGTGAGGATCAGGTGGCTGGGAGAGTGTTTGACCCAGGCGCCACTGTACACACCGGCAGCTGCAGTGTTTACACCTGCTACAGCTGACTGTTCCAAAGCTTTGTTATGACGCTGACTCCAGCTTTTTTTATACACAATCATTAATATGACTATTGGTAAAAGAGACAATAACAATTTTACAATTTTAAATGTAAATTTATGTATATTTTAGACATTTGATAGTTTATATCATACTAAATAAGCTTCTTTATGTTCTGAATATATTTTTTGTTTTTAAGATAAGTCGAACACCACACATCACCAGATAAGATACTTAATGTTAATTATATTCCACGAAAAAAGCGCTAAACTATTTATATGTGTAATTTAAGATATAAAACGTTAACTTAAGTTAAATTTGTACTCAATAATATAATTATATAGTATTTTAAAGTTTTAGGATAGGCTTATTGACTCATTTGGCTTGCAATATAAATGGTTAATATTGTCCGTAGTAAACTCTTAACACAGTTCGTGTCTTATACCGTGTGCCAAGTGTATTTACCGTTGAGACTGTACCTGTAGGTCTTATTGTTGTCCCTCCATAAGTGTTTGTATGTGTTGATCGAGACATTATATGCCACAAGATGCAGCAATAGTTGTGAGGGTATCAAACGATGATACTGACACGTATACTGTGGCCTCAGCTTTCTTTAACTGGAGGACTGTTGAAGACACTGTACAACACACCGTGGCGAGTATCATTACCTTACTCTATGTTATTATTATAGTTATTTTTGTATTAATAATTTTCGCCACTTATCAGCAAACTAGCCGTTTGGGTGCTCTATCAAGTGTTAGTATAGGAGAAAACCAGGGACCGGGAAACCTGTGATGTTTGGTAACAGAGCAGAGAGAGCTGTGTAACGAGCTTGCCAAGCCACTGAAGATCCTGTTCTGTGGTCACTCCACGAACAACTATAGACTATAGACCGGTGAGCTTGACCAGCATAGTATGTAAAGTACTTGAGAGTATTATCAGAGATGCCGCGGTGGAACATCTACGAAACAACTTTGCTGCGTCTTCAATCTTAAGCTTGACCCCTTGTGGGGCGAGCATCCGCCAGCTCCAAGTAAGAACGCTCGACTGAGTAGGGTCCAAATATCAAATACCTTGAGCAATTGTGCTAAGCAGGAGCACCCTGGCATAAAACCATGTTGGCATTCCTGCACAAGTCCAGAAAACCGAGAGGGCAAACTTTTTCAGAGTGAGGGTTGTAAACTCTTGGAACAATCTACCAGAGAGTGTTGTGACGGCACCGAGTGTGAGCTCTTTCAAGACAAGACTTGACCAACACTGGAGTGGGTTCAGGTACATTCAGGAGCCGGTGCATGCCCAGTATTTGCCAACAGTGCGTGACAGAGACGTGACCAATCGCCCGGGCGGCTAGCGAGCTGATCTTTTGGTGAAGAAGATAAATGAAAAGGAAAAGTAATCAGAGACGTGACCAATCGCCCAAGCGGCTAACAAGCCGATCAGTGGCGAAGAGGACAAAAGTAAAAAGTAAAAGTAAAAGAATGTTTAAATCTTACTGACTTGATATTTTGTTACTTGCTGCTAGAATATTACGGATGGTGAATGTTTGCCGAGTCATAAAGGACCGATTTTAGATGACAGTATTGAAAATCATGAACTCACTGTTGTAAAAAAAGGAAATGAAGTACCAATACAGGTTGACAATCCCTTATCCGAAATCCTTGGGACCAGAGGCATGTCGGATTTTGGAATTTTCGGTTTTCAGAATGGTTAGGGTTTTTTTTTTTTTTTTTTTGTATTAGCCCACCCAGACCCAGATCACTGACCCACATCAGGGCTTGGGGGGCGAAAATATAATAAAAATTATAATAATAATAATAATAATAATAATAATACAGTAATAATTCATAGGTCTAGGTCGTGTTTCTCGCTTTTGATCTTTTTTCATTCTTGTATTTCTTTATTATTATTATTTTATTATTACAGTATTATTGTTGTTATTATAAATTTTATTATTATTATTATTATTTTATTTTGGTGTATTTTTATTAAAAATTGTATTTACTATGAATAATTAATATTATTATAATTATTATTACTATTACTATTACATTCCCCCCCCCAGGCCCTGCTGTGGGTCAGTGATCTATGCCCGGATGGGCTAATCACTGTAAAAAAAAAAAAAAAAGCCTCAAAAAACTTTTGGATTTCAGATAAAGGGTTGTCAACCTGTATGTACTTACGATTGTAATCGTGAAAGTAAGTGTGATTACAATTACATTTTGAATGTAATTGATTACAATTATAATTACTCTGCCAAAAATAAGGATGTAATCGAGCTGATTACTTCAAAAACTGTAATCGATTACAGTTTCCTCTTGTCTAATTCTTATTAGGCATGTTATGTTGTATACTTCACCTTAGGAAATTGGTCCTGAATGTGATGTCTTTTGTTCCAACGTTGGAACTGTAACTTTGATTTTTTTTTTAATGATGATCAAACATCTTAATGCTAACCTAACTTATAGGTAACAGGAAGGTATATACCATTCTGTATATGCACGTGTTTACTGTTAACCTTGTATCATAAAAGTAGGTACAGTACCTATATTTCTGTTTGCCTGTACTTTTTGATAGTAAGACAATATCTATTGCTCTTTTTGCAGCATGCTGTTGGTTTCCTGCAAGAGGACGGTCGCTGAGCAGCTGGGTATTCCTGAACCCCCTAAAGGGCCCAAGAGACCTTTCTGGAGCTTTATGATGAGCCATAAACAAGACATCCAAACAAGATTCCCTAAACTGTCATATCCTGGTATGATATACACACAAACAATGGGGGCAAAGTATATTTAACAAACCACCAAGGTTCTATCAGTTTGTTTTGTCAGAGAGATAGGAATACCACTGTGTGTATGGACTGTTGAGATATATATGTAGCCTCGTGTTTATTAGCTGGAATTTGTAAAATGCTACTACAACCACAGGCTTTGTGTGAAATAAAACAGGGAGGTACTACCGCCTGGGAAGATATTGGAAGCATAATGTGTTGTCTAATGGTAGATCCTGCTGCCATATGGTATCACAAAAATTGCAACCAAGTCCCAGGTTGCTGATCTGACTTTATGCCTCATTTACACACAATTGCAGGGTCTCAATTGTTTGTCTTACTTTGACAACACAACATACATACAGTACAGTACATCGAGTTAAGAGTGTATGAAGTGAGTGCAAAGTGGGTGGTAACGTCATACATAGGTGGTGAGCCAGGCTGTGTCATTTTAGGTGTGGGTGAGGAATCACTGGGGACAGGAGGTGGGGGAAGGGGAAGGAGGATGATGACGTACAGTACAGTAAAAATAATTCCAAGATGATGATAGCAAGTTGATTGGGGCTTCAGGAACATTGTGTTTTACTTAGTGTCTACCAATCAGCAACTTTCCATTCTCAGTATGATTTTTGGCAATCGGTTTTAAATTCATGGTGCCAAATGCTAATCATCATAAGATTACGATAGCATGAAGACGATGATAGCAGTTAACTTTACGAAATGCAAGACCCTACATGTATTATACAAAAACCCTAATCACAACTAATCTGTTAATAACTCTTTCCTGGATACTGTCGATAAGGCAAAAGATCTAGACGTTGTGATAGATCATTCACTGAAGGCGGTACAACAAGTGGGGGCAGCAGTGAGAATATACAAAGATAGGAAAATACTCCTTCAACTGTACAAATCTCTTTGTAAGTCGTAAGTAGGTCGTAAGTCGGGGAGGAGCTGTATATATTAGTTTCATGTACACTTTACACCTATCCAATCCAGGCTAATTCAGCAAGGGTTTGTGGGGTCTGGATTTTAGGAATTGTAATGTATAGTGCTGTACCTATAGTACAGTAACACCCCGATTTACGCGGTCAATTGAACCCACAGAGGTCCGTGTAAAACGAGAAACGCGTAAATGGAATAACAGAACATATGGGATTAATTGAAATAGAGACTGGGCCGACTTCCAAACTCCACTTTTTCCGACACAATACCTATGTTCTAGTAAAAATAACATCTTAATTTTAGGATGGTACGCACACACAATTAATATTTAAGAGAAATACAGTCGCCAGGTTAATGTCCATTCAAATAATGGACTCAACTCCCCCCTCCTCCTTTTCCCACGCTCGCTGGCTCCTCCGTCTCTGAGAAATGTTTGGGTGAAAACACTAGATTTTAAGGTATAGTAATAAATAATACCTCAAACTAAAGTTAGGATAATATAATTGACATTGCTGGATTCCTTGCAAGACCAGGAATATTTTTAATCTACACGTCATATATTTTGCACAAAAGATAACATATTTGCTCTGAGTAAACAAAATTCTTACATTAGATCTAAAATTTGTATGTCTAATGCAAAATCTATGATGTTTATATTCAAAATGATCATCAAATTGTAAGAATTCCAGCAATGGAAATTGTATTCTGGCCGGGTAATTTGTATGAATTTTATGAGCTAAAACAAATATCTTCAGAAAATAAAAATAATTATACTTCACCCAGACACTATCTGTCAATCAAAATACCCCACCTCTGGCTCCCCCCCTCTTCCCACGCTCGCTGGGTCCCTCCCTCCCTACCAGAGAAATGTTTGGATTAAAACAGTATACAGTATTTACATTTTTAGTAATAAATAATACGTCAGACTAAAGTTAGGATAATATAATTGGCATTGCTGGATTCCTTGCAAGACCAGGAATATTTTGAATATACACATCATATATTTTGCACAAAAGATAACATATTTGTTCTGAGTAAACAAAATTCTTACATTAGATCTAAAATTTGTATGTCTAATGCAAAATCTATGATGTTTATATTCAAAATGATCATCATATTGTAAGAATTCCAGCAATGTAAATTATATTCTGGCCGGGTAATTTGTATGAATTTTATGAGCTACATAAAAAAATTATACTTCACCAGCGTATATGAGTAGATGCACCGCGTAAAGTGGGAATTCCGGTTCTGGCAGGGTACCGCGTAACTGTAGAAACGAGTAAAAAAAGAACGCGTAAAGCGGGGTATTACTGTATATGATTTTAAATTTGAAAGTTTTCTCTTGAAAATTATTTGTGATTTACAGAAATACTCATGAAACTTGGACACATGTGGTCGGAACTCAGTTTTGATGAAAAGAACAAATGGGTGCTGGAGTATGAGAGGCAAAAGATGGCTTATCAGGTCAGGTAAGTCTATGTACTGTGTACAGTACAGTACATTATTTTGTACATGTGGAATTCATTTAATTTCTCTCTAAAAATTATGTGAAATAAAATAATTACCTGAAACCATTCACTGGGTATTTATTTTTAAGTGCAGTACAGTATATAAATACAGTATAGTCTCGGTTTACGCAGTCAATTAAACCCATGGAGGTCCGCGTAAAAAGAGAAACGCGTAAACGAAATAACAGAACATATGGGATTAATTGAAAAAGAGACTGGGCCGACCCCCAGACTACCCTTTTTCCGACACAATACTTACGTTGTAGTAAAAATAACATCTTAATTTTATGATGGTATACACACACAATTAATATTTAAGAGAAATATCAATAATTGTTACCGCAAGCAGTAATGAGTAGGATGACACATAAACAAACATTATGTTAGGCGGTAAGTCATGTCATGTTTATTGGGTGTGCCTGCCCGTATACAGTATATAGAGTGTTGAGATGGTGGAGATGAGAGGCCCAGAAGGAGGTTGGAGCGTGTGAAGGGAGTTTGTTTATGTATAATTATAATCACCTGACTCAGCCATAGCTGACCAGCCAGGGGGCCAGGCTGTAGGGTGGGCATTTCAGTATAGCTTCCCATATCTTAGAGTCAACACCTACCCTGGCTTCTCTCTAGACTTTAAACACGTAAGTTTAACTTGTACTTATTGTGTACACAGGTAGTCTGTGTCCATTGCATCATTTATCAGTGTGACAATATAGAAATATGGCAAATTGAGTACTCATTGTAAATGTTAAGCTTAGACTAATTACATAGCCATGATTGTTATGTAAATATATATTGGATTAAACATTTTTGTAGGAGTGCCTATGTATGACTTATTTGAAATACTAAATGAATTGCATTTAACAGGTTTGACCAAATTGTAATGTTCGTGTACAACGTAAGGAGTCTCATTCAACCTTTAACTGCCCGGACGGCGGTTACAATAATATTAGGTTTTTTAACACTTACGTTAGTAGAAGAGATGGCTGGGCACACGGGGATGGGGGGTTGGTTCCAAGGCAGAGGGCAATTATTGGCCCTCACCTGTATCACTATCCACCACAGAGGCTTGCAGGGCCTCTTTGTCAAACCCCTCAAAGTCCATATCCTCACTATCACTGACTTGGGCTGGCTGTGGTGGGTGGCGGGTGAAGAACTCGGTAATGTTTTGTTGACTGGGTGACCTAGCGCGCACCCTGCCCGCGCCGCTTCCTGCGTAAATGATGGAATGTACCGCGTAACTAATAATTGCCGGTCTGCCCAGGTGCCGCGTAAATGACCAAACGTGTAAAGGAAATCCGCGTAAATCGAGACTATATATATATATATATATATTTATATATATATATATATATATATATATATATATATATATATATATATATATATATATATATATATATATATATATATATATATATATATATATATATATATATATATATATATATATACGGTACAGTACTGTATAACGTTTTCTCTCAGGTATAGAAATTATTTGGAAACCGTTGGCCCCGAACACATTGAATGCATGAAGTACCTCAAAAAGCAGCACCAATTGAAGAAAAAGGTTTATTCACAGCTGGTGTCTCGAAAAAAAAAGAAAAATTGTTCCGTTGAAAAACCCAAGTCTCCCGGCAATGCCTTCACGATGTACTTGAGGACATTAGACCAAGGAAACACCAAGTTAAGGGTACAGTATTTTATTTTCTCATGTATTGCCTGTAGTCTTCCTTTGAGACCTTGTAGTTTATGTTTGGTTATCAAGTCTTCCACATTCATTCTTATCACCATTCTCTTTAGACAAGTGAACTGTCCACAATCTTTGCCATTCCATTCTTTCATTACCCTTCCCTGTCATAAATAGCCTGTACAGTGAAAGAGAAAATTGTGATCCTTGAATTTGACTTAATCATCTGGTGAACAGCGAACATTTGAGCGCGTGGTCCCTGGTATCATACAAACAGTTGATAGGTCTGAGAGCCCTGAAATGAGTTGCCAGTTGCTTCTTTGTTTATATTCTATACAAGCTCCCCCCTTTTCTCCCTCTGTAACATACTTGTAATCCAATGTAACCCTGTCTTTCAGGTTCGTTGTTCTTAAATTTAAAATACCGGGTATGTTACTGTGCTCATGTCATCTTGTATATTGCATGCATGTCTTGCTAATGAAATATTGTCAAGTGTTTAATGTGTCATAGTTATGGTACAGTAATAGAAAATGCAACAAAACATCAAAGTTAAATAATTAAATGTCACTTCAGGTCACAAAATATTATTCGTTTATTCAAATACTGGTTCAAATACCGACCCAAAGTTCTTGACATTATACCGGGTAGTTAAAAATTTCATTAGCCCACTGTAGTTGCATCATAGATGGAAATAATTACTTATCAAATAACACATGAATGTGGAGACCACTGAAACTGAGGATAGATCATTGTTTTATTGCGCTACTTGATGCATACTGTATGTTAGGCTCAAAGAATGAATTCACTCACTGAGCAAAAAAATGCCCACTGTGTTCTGGACATCTTCAAAATAACCAGAAAGCGAAATTTTGTGTTGTGGGTTTTCTCAAGAGCCACAATGCATTTTTGACAGTCTTGAAATTCCTCAAACCTAGCTTAACATAACCAAACCTAATCTACCATAATCTAATCTAAACTAACCAAACCTAATTGAACTTAACCTGACATAATCTAGCTTAACCTAGACTAATCTAACCAAACCTAACTTAACCTAAACAAACCTAATCTAACTTAACTTATAGCAAAATTTAACTTTTGGTTATTTTTTGGTTCCACAAGGCGTTGTGTTAATTTTTTTTCCCACTCATTGAGTGAATTCATTCTTTGAGCCTAACACATACACTGACTCTCTCTGCTATAATCTCTGGTGGCTGTCCTCTTCTATACAGAGAGATTATAGCTTCTCTCATATCCTTGGTGCAGCCTGCTTGCTCTCTCCATACTATGATATTCTTGGTGTTTTGTGGTCATGCGTGTATGTTGAAATGACTATGTCATCGTGGGCTGACAGAATATGTTCCCATATTCCATCATCTACGATAGTTAGATACGAAACTCAAGGGTCAATGATATGGGCTTGTAAAATTGCATGGCATTAGTCAAACATTTATTGGCCCAACAACACATATGAGGCTTCTTTGGATTCAGACTTTTCAACTGCCATGATGTAGTTGTGGGAAGGCTGTCATTATGTTTTGCTAGATGTATGTAATAATAATTGGACAAAACTGGAACCAGACTTTTGTCTTTCACTGTACACACTTGTCCCATACTTGACCCCACAAGATATGAATTTTTCATGCTGCATTCGATACGCTTTGAATTCCAGAATATATGTCGCACTCCTCCACTTATCATTTGAGAATGTCTGTCGCAGTTATCAAGTTAAGTAAGCTCACAGACTCAATTGGCTCAGCCATGTCAATATTGATATTCCTCTCTGTATCTGTATTTTTCTGGCCAAATAAACTGTTTCAAAATCAATATCCCAGACCCCATACTTTGTATGCACAAAATTGATTGCTTAGAAAATGTTTAGAAAAAATTATTAGATGATAGTAGTCTATGTGAAAAAAAAAATATTAAAAGGTAAATGATATTTCTGCATTCCCTTTCCATACAAATGGTTAGATCATGCGGTTAGGTTAGAATTGTACACCTCCAAACTTCTTAATATTATCAGCCCATTGGAGGTTGGGATAGCTAATAACAGTTCCTTGTACAGTATTTAGTGCAATTAATACTATGTGCATAATAAATTAGTAGTTAGAATTTGTCTTTCAGGACTTCATGTTTGCAGCATCCACCAAATGGAATACACTGCCAGATAAGGAAAAGAACATGTATCATAAGCAAGCAAAGGTTCTTGAAGACCAGTATCAAAGTGAACTCTCAAAGTGGGAGAAGAAGTGAGTACCATTTTTTTTACATTTTATATCACACTTAATGTATTCCTCTGGTGAGTGATAACCTATAATAAAAAACCGGGCTGTAGCCGCTAACGGCCAGACCAGGGTGAGAGTGTGGGGTAATGAGATCCATCCAGTAGTACACGACAATGTTTATTCGGTCATACAGTACAGTATAGTCTGCATTTACGCGGTCAATTGAACCCGTGGAGGTCCGCGTAAAACGAGAAACGCGTTAATGAAATAACATAACATATGGGATTAATTGAAATAGAGACTGGGTCGACTCCCAAACTCCACTTTTTCCGACACAATACATACGTTGTAGTCAAAATAACATCTTAATTTATGATGGTATGCACACACAATTAATATTTAAGAGAAATATGAATAATATTAGGTTTTTTAACACTTACGTTAGTAGAAAAGATGGCTGGGCACACGGGGATGGGGGATTGGTTCCGAGGCAGAGGGCAGAGTATTGGCCCTCGCCTGTATCACTTGTATCAATTGTATCACTATCCACCACAGAGGCTTGCAAGGCCTCTTTGTCAAACCCCTCAAAGTCCATATCCTCACTATCACTGACTTGGGCAGGCTGTGGTGGGTGGCGGATGAAGAACTTGGTAATGTTTTGATGACTGGGCGACCTTGTGCGCATCCTGCCTGCACCGCTTCCCGCGTAAATGATGAAATTTACCGCGTAATTAAAACATTTCATTCTGGCAAGGCACCGCGTAAATGATCAAACGCGTAAACAAAAACCGCGTAAATCCAGACTATACTGTACGGTAGGCTCTCATATTTGGATACCTATTTAGACTGTAAATACCTCGCAAAATTCAAATCGTCCGAATTGAAATAGAACTTCCTATGGAGAAAATTAATTTGAGTCTGGTACTTTCAATGTTTGGCTAAATTTTGCTTTATTTACCCTACTTTTTTGGCGAATTACTACATGTAATAAAGCAACATCCTAATAAACCAATGAAAATAACACAGATAAAGTTAATTAAAAACTAAAAACAACACAGAAAAAGTTTTTATGTTCTACAGCTTCAGCTAGAGTTGAACCTGATGACTTGGCAACTTCGTCATCCGAGTAAAAACACACACACAACATGGTCTCTGTCCTAATGTTTACAACTTTACCACCACTGGTGAGTAGAATTTTTTTAAATCCAGAAACATTAATTAAAACATATATGAACAGAAAATAAGAGTTGCTTTCATATTCTTATGAAGAGTGATGACGATATGTTTTCACATGTGCGTGCGAACGTACGTACTTGATCTCACTTTTTATTCTTTATCATCAATGGTTAGCTACTTATATTTTTCCATTTATTAACATTAAATAACATTACTTAAAGCAACCATATTAAGTTTATTACGTTAATTTTACTACAGCTACAACCAGGGTCTTATTTTCCTTTTTTTTATATTAGAACCAGTCAGTCACTGGTTTTGTAAACATTAACGAAAACAATGCCGTCTCGTCTCCTCATGTGTTTTAATATTCTACGTATTATTACTGAATTGCATTGTTCATTTTGCACACTCAAACCCGTCAAAATTCGAGTTTCCGCCATCGAAATTTGAAATTGTGTAGTGTTTTTTTGTGTTCAAATACAAAACGTCGAATTAAAAACTCACGAAATTTGAGAACCTACTGTACTTGGAAATACATGTCCCACTATCAATTGTATTATCACACACATGTGATAATAACAATCACATGATTAACCTTCCAAGTTGACTTAATTCTGAATACAATTGTTCAACACTCACTTGTGACGGGTCTGTTGGTATAACATGCGTGAGTACAATGGCAGGCGATTAGGGGTGAGTTATCACCGTACACTGAACTCTGTTGTTTCCACAGACTATCACAGTATGTTTGAGTTAGGTCACTGATGCACAGTTGCTTGAAAATAGCTAGAAGTTATCTCCAGACAAAGTAATAGACAACTTAGTCTGCTCACTGCAGTACACACACACTGACCCTCATATTCTTACTACATAACTGGCCACTAGTCCTTATCACTCTCGCTTCTCTCTCCTTCATTACCATATCGCATGTCCCATGAGATGCGGTAAGACTGGCAATGTGTAGCATTTTATCCCAGAAGATTCCGAGTGCAAAATAGTGTGATTTACTGGGTAGTGTTTGTAATTCATTCATTATACATTGCTGATGTATCTGTTTATTTTTCACACTTTTTTATACATGTGGTTATGGATGGGATCTATTCCTGGAGGCTCTTTAAGCTGAATTAACCGTAAACCAAAAGTGACCTTGCCATAAGAACAGTACTGTCATCATTGAACACATGTAGTACTGTATGCCTAGTGCACTGTACAGTACTGCATGTACAATTACGATACATTCAAGGTAATACTTTTTTTTTTAATTAAAAAGTATCAGCTGAAGTGGAGGAAAGAAAGATAAGTACTGTACACAAAGGTACATATAGTACAGTGGTCCCTCGGTTAACGAATTATCTCCCATAAGGATCTTCAATTCGGTTAACGAACAAAACTTTGATTAACGAAATCCTTACGAACATCACGTTTTGTTGTGAGCATCAGCTGATGGGCTAGTCTGCCATTCAGTAATGTGTTCTATGTTTACATTCGTTTCCAGTGGAGTAAATATCAAGAAAGTTGTGCACTTTAATATTTTACATTTTTTTATATTAAAATTATTAGTTATTTTAACATTTATTTAACATATTGATAATATATGCAGTACAGGGAACTAGTTTTTTGTGCGCCCATCAGACGCTTGACTCCGCCAACAGGCGTCAGTTGGGCTTTGTTGACAGTGGAGTGAACATGTATTTTGTTGGTGTCTTGAATATTTTGCAGTTTTCACTGAAATTATTGGTCATCTCTGAAATTTAGTTAACATATTGCTAATATATAGCGCAGTGCAGTGTTGATTTAAATAAAATAATCTTGAATTACACCTAGTGAACTTAAAATTTTATGGGTGAAATGACGGCATCAAGCATGGGTCCACTGAAAGGTGATTTCTCCTCCATCCCCACTTCCTTCTCTTCTCCCTTCTCCTCCACCCCCACTTCTAATTCCCATCATCATCATCAACCAGGAACCTTCTACATACACACCTCAAAGTAAGTGTACCTTACTGCATTTTTTTTTTTTTTTTTTTTTTTTTACTTTGTATGTACTTTTCGGTGAGTTGGAACCAATTACCTAATATCCCATTGAAACAATGGATTTGGTTAACGAAATTTTCGGTTAATGAACGACCCTCTGGAACGAATTGTGTTCGTTAACCGAGGGACCACTGTACAGTACAGTAAATCCATTTACCTAAAATCCTGGTGCTGATTTGCTCATGAGAAGGTGGAGTTTTGGTTTTGGAAGATGGACTTAATTGCTAGATGAGGAAGAAAGAAAAAAAATCATCTCACAAATACGTAACACATGGTTACTACGTACTTCATTATCACAGTAGATTGTAAAGGCATCGAACCTTACACGTGTTCTTTTATACGACCCCTGTCCTTCACAGTCATGTGTACAGTTGAGGTAGTGATATTGAGTTCACATGGGAGAGTGGCAGTAGTTTTCTTCTTTCATAGTCCTGCACTCTTACTATCATTTTGCAACATATTTAATGGAGATTTACAAAAGAAAACTTGGGGATGATGTGTAGTGATGCACACTATTGTGATCTAACAACTTGACTTAGCCCATGTAACACCTTATACAGTACCTCTTATAGCACCTCTGTAGTACCACTTCATGAAGTACAGTACCTCATGTAAACACCTCTTATACCACTTCATGTAACACTTCATGAAGTACCTCATGTAACACCTCATGTAGCACCTCTTATAGCACCTGTGTACAATGTGCTAGACTATAAACATAAATTTTTCTGCAAGGAAAACTTATTTACTCTTTGTTCCAGACATTAAAATATCCTTGCTACATCAGATTATTGGAATATAGTAGGTCTCTATGCTTTTAGAGTCTTCAAATGTGTTTTTAAGAATTGTATCTTCGTTCACATTCTCCAATTAAAGCATTATCACAATGAAATCTTATATAGTTAAAGACTTCTGCAAAATTTTATTATACTTCTGCTTTATGGAACACATAATGTTATCAAAGTATTTTTCTGTCCATGTAGGATTAGTTTTGTTCTATACAGTACATTGTTCTCTCAACAGAGTCTATGAGGAAGTTTCCCTTAAGGATAAAGAGAAGCTTGTTGACTTTAGGGACAACAAAATTAAAGGTCAGGGTCTTTGCTAGTATATTTTGTACCATTTGAGGTACAGTAGTTCACTAAATATTATTTACATTTCAGCATGAGATTAATTGGCAGAGAAGATCTGATACACAATCACCAGCAGTGGGTTCAGCTAAAGGCTTCTACAACCCCGAATAATGGCAGTACCGAGGTGCAGGTGAAGCCCACGGCCCCCAAACCAGCCAAGGCAGCTGTCTCCAGTGATACAAATAAAAGATTTCGACGCATAGTTATAATAAAACGTACTTGAATTATCTTGGACATTTTCTTTTAAGCATACTGCGTATTCTTATAACCAGCTTCTTGATCATTAATATAATATTAATAGTTTTATTGGAAACACAGGAGAGTAAATTTCAAACAAAGTCAACATTTGCAAGAATTGCAAAACCAAAAGTTGGAAACACAATTTCTCGTGTCTTAAAAAGATACCTGATTGATGATAAACTGAGGGATGCTATCCATGACACAAGACTGATGTCAAATAGTGGAATGCCTTTATTGAAGACAAGTGATGGATTTCAAGCAAAGGAATGCCATCATGCATGATACAATTAACAGTGAAACATTACATACACAAGGTAGGGCAAGCCCAAGCCAGGTTGGAAGCAACAAGGAAGCTAGGTTACAGCATTGGCAGATTTGTTCCTATTACCTCACACATATGGTTACTGTCAACTCCATGACTCAGTGATAGAGTACAGTATTTGCATTACTCACAGATGGTCTTGGATTCAATTCCTGGATAGAGTGAAGCATTGGGTCTTCAATGTCCACTCGCCCTACAGTTGACTTAACATAATCTCATGGGGGTGGAGTAACTCATTAAGTATTAAAATGATAAGAATCAGGATTGCTTTTGCCTGGCTACACTGCACCAAAGCAGGACATTACTTTTATTTACTAAAACAAGTACAGGTTGTACCTCTCCAGTCCGGCAACTTCGGGACCTGACCGGTGCCGGACCATGGAAATTCACCCTTTTCCTGGATAGATAGTGACTTGTGCTTATGCTTAGAAGCACTAGCACCACTTTCTGTGCATCATGGTCTCTTTGAAGACATATTGAAGGGTTAATTGTCGTATAGTAGCTACTCAAAATTCGCGAGTTTTTAATTCAACGTATTTTATTGGAGAACACACCAAAAAAAATAAATAAAAATTTTGACGGCAGAAACTTGAATTTCGACAGGTTTGAACAGCCCGCCAACATGCAGACGACGTGCATAATCGTGCAAACAGCATCATTTCTCTTATGTACAAAATATTCATTACTGTTTATTACTGAATGTCTTTTTTATTGAATTAATGTTTATGTGTGCAAAATGAGCAATACAATTCATTAATAATACGTAGAATATTAAAACACACGAGGAAATGACACAACATTGTTTTCGTTGATTACAAAACCAGTGACTGACTGGTTCTACATATAAAACTGAAGAAAATAAGACCTTGGTTGTAGCTGTAGTAAAATTAATATGGTTATTTAATGTTAATAAATGGAACAATAGAAGAAGCTAACGATAAAGTTAAAGAAAAAAGAGAGATCGCGTATGTAAGTGCGCACACGTGAAAACATATCGTCATTACTTTACATAAGAATATGAAAGCAACACTTATTTACTGTTCATATATATTTTAATTAATGTTTCTGATTTTTTTTTTATTAAATTAATGTTTGTGTGTGCGAAATTAACAATACAATTTATTAATAATACGTGGAATATTAAAACACACAAGACGAGACGGCTGCTGGCATTGTTTATGTTAAAGCTTACAAAACCAGTGACTGATTGGTTCTACATACAAAACTGAAGAAAATAAGACCCTGATTGTAGCTGTAGTAAAATTAATGTAAAAGAAATTAATATGGTTGTTTGAAGTACCTGTAATGTTATTTAATGTTAATAAATGGAACAATATAAGTAGCTAACCATTAATGGTAAAAAAAAAGTGAGACTGCGTGTATGTAAGTGAGCACATGTGAAAACATATCGTCATTACTCTACATAAGAATATGAAAGCAACACTTATTTACTGCTCATATATTGAAGGGTTAAATGTTGTACTCTGTATAGACAAGCAGAGAGAGAGAGAGCAGCCGAACTGCCGGATGTAAACAAACCTTAATTTCTCGCGGTTTTGTTGTTGTTTTTTTACGGGGATTAGCCCACCCGGGTATAGGTCACTGACCCACATTGGGGCCTGAGGGGCAAAAATTTAATACTCCTGTAATAATAATAATAATAATTCAAATAAGTAAAAAAAAAAAAAAAGCTGCCTATCTACCTACTGGACAAACTAAAATCGTTCCGGACCACGGGAGTTTCCGGACCACAGAATGCCGGACTAAAGAGGTACAACCTGTACCACAAGGCTATTATAATACTCTGGTAACGAGACAAACTCTACTGTACACTGTATTACATTTTGTAATGATTTTTACACTAGTGAAATGCATAATATTAATTTCTTGTTTCTAGATGTAATGCACATGCTGTAGTGATATCCCCGTGAGCCGGAATAATTGGAGCAGAGCTCATCTGGGAATGAGAGATTTCCAAGTATGAGACGAAATTCTCATCCCCGGAATTTTTCTGGGTACTGGAGTAAGTTTTCCGAGAGTCTAAACTACACATCTCACAGGGACAGACACTATCGCATATCCCCAGAATGTTTCTGGGTGCTGGGAAAAGTTTTCTGAGAGTAACTACGCATCTCGCACAGACAGACACAAAGCTGTACTACTTATTTACGCAAACACCACTGTACACATACAATACAGTGATCCCTCGGTTAACGAACGCCTCGGTTAATGAAATTTCGGTTAACGAATTACCTTCCATAAGAATATTCAATTCGGTTAACGAAAAAAATTCGGTTACAAATTTTTTCCCAACATGTTTTCACCTGCTTTCGCCTGCTCACAAGCTGTAGTATTAGTCCGCCAATACAGTAATCGGTTTTAGGGCTTAAATTAGTTACCATTTGAGTAAATATCAAAAAGGTTGTACTATTCAATAATATTCCAAGTCTTATACAGTATTAAAATTTTTAGTCATTTTAACAATTATTTAACATAATTGAAGTACAGGGAACTAGTTTTTAGCGCGCCAAACAGCCACTTGACTCACCCAGAATGGCGTCAGTTTGTGTATCTGCTCAGTGGAGGAAACATCTTGCTTGAGGCTCTCTTGAACATAAACTATTTTTACGTTTTTACAGTACAATTATTGGTCATTCTGAAATTTATTTTACATATTGACAATATATAGTGCAGTGCAGTGTTGATTTCAAGAAAATAATCTTGAATTACACCTAGTGAACTTAAAATTTTATGGGTGAAATGGAGGCATGAAGCATGGGGTGATTTCTCTTCCACCCCACTGCCTTCTCTTCTCCCTTCTCCTCCACCCCCATTCTAATTCCCATCATCACCATCATCAACCAGGAGCCTTCTACATGCACACCTCAAAGTAAGCGTACTTTACTGCATTTATTTTTAGTTTGTGTGTAATTTTCGGTGAGCTGGAACCAATTACCCAAAATCCCATTGAAACAATGGTTTCGATTAACAAAATTTTCGGTTAACGAGCAACCTTCTGGAACGAATTGTGTTCGTTAACCAAGGGACCACTGTATATTGTAAATAAAGTATACTACAGGGGGGTCCCTGGGTCATGAACGGGTTCCGTTCCTGAGGACGTTCTTAAGTTGGAAATGTACGCAAGTCAGAACACATACCTTATGTGCACTATATCATAGCCCAATTCCTTTTATACATCTCGAATCACTTAATTTAAGAGAAAAATTAGAAATTGAATGACAAAATAAGGTAAAGAAAAGTAAAAATTAAAGTTTAACACTTATAAGGAAACCTGGGACTGGCTTGCATGTAGAGATAGGCAGTTGTAGGAGTGACAGGTTTTATTGGGATGAAACTGAAGATGGTAATGTTGATGTAGATGTTAACAGGATTGGTTCTGGAGAATCTGGTGAGGTAGAACGAACTAGTTCTGGAGTTACTGGGAGTTGCTCTGTTGATGCTGCAGAGGTTGATGGGGCTGGTTCTGGAGATGCTGCAGAGGTTGATGGGACTGGTTCTGTAGATGCTGCAGAGGTTGATGGGACTGGTTCTGTAGATGCTGCAGAGGTTGATGGGACTGGTTCTGTAGATGCTGCAGAGGTTGATGGGACTGGTTCTGTAGATGCTGCAGAGGTTGATGGGACTGGTTCTGTAGATGCTGCAGAGGTTGATGGGACTGGTTCTGTAAATGCTGCAGAGGTTGATGGGACTGGTTCTGTAGATGCTGCAGAGGTTGATGGTACTGGTTCTGTAGATGCTGAAGAGGTTGATGGGACTGGTTTTGTAGAAGCTGCAGAGGTTGATGGGACTGGTTCTGTAGATGCTGAAGAGGTTGATGGGACTGATCCTGTAGATGCTGCAGAGGTTGGTGGGACTGGTTCTGTAGATGCTGAAGAGATTGATGGGAATTGGTTCTGTAGATGCTGCAGAAGTTGATGGGACTGGTTCGTAGATGCTGCAGAAGTTGGATGGGACTGGGTTCTGTAGATGCTGCAGAGGCTGATGGGACTGGTTCTGTAGATGCTAAGCAAGAGTGTTGCAGGACTGGTTCTGCAGGATGCTGCAGCAGTTGATGGACTGGTTCTGCAGATGCTGCAGAGCAAGCTGGTGGACTGGTTCTGCAGATGCTGCAGAGGCCAGGGACTGGTTCTGTAGATGCCACAGAGGTTGATGGGACTGGTTCTGTGCAGATGCTGCAGAAGTTGATGGACTGATTCTGTGATGCTGCAGAAGTTGATGGGACTGGTTCTGTAGATGATGAAGTTGATGGGACTGCCCTGTAGAAGCTGCATGTGCTGCAGAGGTTGATGGAACTGGTTCTGTAGATGGTGCAGAGGTTGATGGAACTGGGTCTGTAGATGCTGCAGAGTTTAATGGGACTGGGTCTGTAGATGCTGCACAGGTTCATGGGACTGGTTCTGTAGATGCTGCAGAGGTTGATGAGACTGGTTCTGTAGATGCGGCAGAGGTTGATGGAACTGGTTCTGTAGATGCTGCAGAGTTTGATGGAACTGGTTCTGTAGATGCTGCAGAGGTTAATGGGACTAGGTCTGTAGATGCTGCACAGGTTCATGGGACTTTTTCCGTAGATGCTGCAGAGGTTGATGAGACTGGTTCTGTAGATGCTGCAGAGGTTGATGGGACTGGTTCTGTATATGCTGTAGAG